TATATTAGAGAGTGTGTATGCGCACAGGTCAGATAACATATATATATGTGTGAGGACATTTTTCCGATTTGGAAATAAAATAAAGAAAAGGTCGAACATCAGCCTTTCTCTCTCTAATATTTGGTGCCGTGACCGATTATTTTTATTATTTAACAATAATAAAAATCTTACCAGAGGACATTCCAAATTAGGAGTGACCTGTACAATTTTAATATTCGGAAAATCAATTAAAGAGGAAATTCATCTCGAATTACCTGTTAAAAAAGAAAGGAGGAAAAAACAAGAAATTCTATAATTAACTGGGTTTACACAAGTGAATTATCAAATAATACACAACGGCTTACAATCTACGAAGCAGTAATACAGATCCCGAATACAGCGGTGATTTATTAACTGAAACGTCTGAACGTATAGTTAAGAAACTAATATCACAATCATTCAAGGACATTAAAGATCACACACATCGACGAAAGGAAACAATGGCTAACAACGTACAAGATTCAGCAATGATGATATGCTATCGAGAATGTTTATCAAATTTGGAAAAATTCAATGGTGGTGAAGAACAAAAAATTTTACAATTTATTAATAATATTGAAAGAATCGGCAAAATGATCGACGCAAACGATGATATTTTACATTGTATGTGTACAGCAAAATTAGATGGTGAAGCGAAACGCTGGTATGAGGATAACATGACATTAACTCAATGGGAAAATTTAAAATCAGCATTACTTGAAAGATTTACAACATCAGATTCGTCATCGAAAATATTCGAACAATTAAAAGAACGAAAACAAAAATCAGATGAAACAATTACATCGTATTATGATGCTGTTATTAAATTATGTCGAGAATATGATTCATCTATGTCACAAAAAATGATGATATCGTGGTTACAAAATGGAATCAAAGATTCATTGAAGACTCACATTAAACGGCAGATGAAATTATTACCTGAATCAGCACGAACAACTCAAGCATTTTTAAAAATTGCTAAGGACGAACAAGAATTACAAGAAGAAGATTCATCTGAACAACAAGCGACACAATCTTATTTACCATACATTACGAATACCGTATCAACAACATTACAACAAGCACGAAACGACTCGCAAAATGTACCAACGTCAACATATTCGCCATCACAACATCCAATATATAAACGACATAAACATCATGCTCCAACATCCAAATATTCAGATTCATCACAACTCCCACCAAATGGTCGAAATTCAACTTTACGACCACCACCTATTGTACGTAAGCAAGAATCACCTTATTTATCAACTAATAATTCGAAACATTATCAAGAAGCAAATGTCAAATCTTATTCATTCCCGCAACACTATTCACAACGACGACCATGTGATATATGCCAACGTAACAATCATCGAACAATTGACTGTTATTACAAAACAACAAATGGGTGTTATAAATGTGGACAATCTGATCATTATATACGTGATTGTCCGCAGGTTTTCTATTAACTGGAACCCGTGATGGTGGTCATTCCAGTAATAAACAACAAAATCCATCAACAATAAATTATACATTATCCAAATTATTAACTCCTATATATATAAATGTTCAGGTAAATAATAAACAACACCAAGCCATTGTCGATACTGGATCTGCAGTCACCATTATTAATCAACAATTATTAAAAAAGATTTATCACAAGGAATTTATTTACAAAAAGAAATTACACAAATCAGCTAATTGCTCATCTATTAACATTATTGGTGAAATTCAACTTGAAATTAAAATACAAGGGTATAAAACTTTTATTTTAGCAGATGTTGCAACGAATCTTATTACTGATCTATTACTTGGAAACGATTGGATTACGACAAATAATGTTATTATTGATACACCACAACGATGCATTTTTCTTACTGATCAAAAACGCCATATTTTAACAGCAGCACAATTCGTCAAACCATCACATCTTCAATTACCTGTACTATTAGCTGATGAAATTACCCTTCCACCACACTCCGAAAAATGCATTGATATTAAAGTATTATCATCAATGACAAGTATATCCGAAGCTTTATTCGAACCAGCAGCATATTTATATCCGAAACACATCTTTCTTACGAATGCATTAATTAAATTAGAAGACAATAGAAGTCAAATTATGATTATGAATGCAAATGATCGTCAAAAGACATTCTCGAAGAATACTCCATTAGGATATATTTCATATCAATCAAAAGTCAATAATTATCTTATTTTACCTCTACTATCAGGAAAAAGGACTGATCGATCAATCATTACAAGAACAAATCTCTATAGGAGGAACCACTCCTTTGCGGATCGTTCCTGGGTTCCATCAGCAAATCCAAAGAGGAAAGTCCGATCTTTGGACTCAACCTGTCGGATGGACAACAACGATGAACAACAGCCTCAATGTTATGTCTGTCAAGAAAAATTTTTATCACGCAATGATTTACAACAACACTTACGTCAGAAATGTTATCCACCAGAAATGCGAGAGCAGATTGAAAAATTAACTCACCACATCGAAAACACGAAACAACGACAACAATTACAACAAATTTTATGGAAACATGGGAAATTATTTGATCTCCGTCAACCGTCCATCATTAAAGCTACAGTCCATCATGCTATTGAAACTGGTACTCATCCACCAATTTATACTTCACCATATCGTGTTTCATACAAAGATGAACGAATCCAAAGGGAAGAAATTGACAGATTACTCAAGCAAGGAATAGTTGAAGAATCTAAATCGCCATGGTCATCTCCAATAGTATTGGTAAGAAAAAAAGATGGTTCTGTTCGATTTTGTATTGATTTTAGGAAATTAAACAATATTACGACCAAAGATGCATTTCCTATACCTCGAATTGATGATATCTTTGATCATTTATCACAAGCTGAATATTATACAACCATCGACTTTAAATCAGGTTATTTTCAAGTTGGTCTGGACCCCAAAGATCGTCCGAAAACAGCTTTCTCAACCCGAGATCAGCATTATCAATTTACAGTGTTACCTCAAGGTGTTACAAACGGTCCACCAGCATTCCAACGCATCGTTAGTCAAATACTTGGACCTACAAGATGGCAATATTCATTAGCTTATCTGGATGATGTTATAATATATTCACCAACATTCGATCAACATTTAACACATCTTGATGATATTCTCAACCGTTTAAATGATGCAAATTTTCGTCTTAATGTTAACAAATGTCAAATAGCAAAAACGTCGATTGATTATCTTGGTCATCACATTGAACGTAGTACTATTAGACCGAATGCAGACAATATTCGTGCATTATTGGAAACTCCACAGCCAACAACAGCAAGAGAAGCATTTCGATTCGTCAAAGCTGCTGAATATTACCGCAAATTTATACCTGGATTTTCGACAATTGCACAACCCTTACATAAATATGCACCTACTACAAAAGAACAACGATCACAAAAATCACAATCTACACCTATTATTTTATCCGATGAAGAACTTCATGCATTTAATGAATTGAAACAAATATTAACTAATGATTTAGTATTACGTATTCCCGACCAAAATTTACCATTTAAGATACAAACCGATGCATCAAAAATTGGAATTGGAGCTGTACTTATGCAAACTCACCCAAATGGGGATCTACCACTAGCTTATTTATCAAAGAAATTTACAACAACCCAAATGAATTGGCCTGCAACAGAACAAGAATGTTATGCTATTATATATGCAATCGAAAAGTGGCATAAATATTTAGATGGACGTTCATTCACTATTGAAACAGATCATAAACCATTATTACCATTCAATTTAAAACAACAATTAAATTCGAAATGTGAACGATGGCGTTTAAAATTACAACAATATCAATTTACTATTCGGTATATTAAAGGAAAACATAATACGGTAGCTGATTATTTATCCCGTTCACCAGTAGATAATGGAACAAATGATGAAGACGATTATACTCCAACACAATCTAGATCAACACAAACTGATAATTGTATGAAGACACAAATTATTGCACCTGTCATGACTCGTAGACAAGCAAGACAACAACCTAATGAGAGGACTGATCATCATTTATCAGATCAGACCTGTGATGGAAACCGACAAGCGAGGAATGTCGACATACCAATCGACCATTCCTGTATTCCAAAAGCCAACCAACTACCGACATCGATCTACAACACCGACTGTGATAAAATAATACCATTTACATTGGAACAATTAAAAGAATTACAACATCAAGATGA